CTCAAGCTCTGTTTGCTGCATACTGAGACTATTGGCATTGGCGGACAAGGCCTCATCACGATTTTGAGACTCTGCCAGCATCTGAAAGTACGCATGAGGTCCCCAACCTGCCCATCCAACATAAACAGAAAACAATCTTGAGAACAATGTCCGTGGAGTATTAAAATGCACAGTAATTTAACTTAGTTTCATTGAAAGAAAGAAAAAACACTCACGGACTATGTAGAAATAGAAAACCTTAGCTATGAAAACACAGAGTTATACAAAACGAAAGGGAAGCTATATGGTGATAACATTAAGAAAGGAACCTTAGATACATACCATCTGTCTCATATGGAGGTGGAAAGAATTGCAGGTAGCAAAATGAAGCAATGGTGATTCCTGCACAACATATATATATATATAAGAAAGAATGAAAAACTTGACAGACATTTTGTTTTTCTCAAAAAATCATGCCAATGATGCCATAAGCGGACAAGGTACCTATAAGTCCGCCAGCAAAAACATCTTGCCAATGATGCCAATAGTCATCAACTCGAGAAACTGCTACCATTGCCGCAAGAAGTAATGGTAGAAAGACAATACAGAGCTTTGCAACATGTCCCCTACGATCAAACACCCTAACTTTCCCTGATAGATACCATGCAATGAAACCAAGACCTGCAAAGGACCCTGCATGTTGACAACCAGATTTACGTTTGGGCTAATTTCTGGTTTTACAGATAAATCAAGATAAAGTGCAAATGAGAAAACAATACAAAGTCAAACATATGCAGATAAACTAAAGAAACTAGATAGTCAGCATACACCTCTCCCTTAGAGGACATTAAGCACATCCCTAATCTCTAATCCTTCGATGTACAGTTTTCCAGAAATATCAAACTGCTTACATGAAGTATGCCCGCTGGGGAAGCTTTTGTGTCCTTCCTTAATGACACTCTTGCTTCCAGTACACATGACATTCTTTGTGATTGGATCAAACACCTGGACATGGATCAATTGTATGTCAATGTATGCATAAGTGAGCATGACCAAGAACTGAAAAATGCCAAGTTTATGTCAAGAAAAGATCAAAATATATAAGAATTCTATGCACTAGAAGGCCCACCCCTTTGCCATCAGGGAAACAACGCCAAAAGAAGTCTGGACGAGGTCGACCAACACCATCTTTGATTGCATCAGTTAAAACAGCGGTTATAAAGATGGAAAATAGAAGGCCTGAATGAGCATAGACAATGGAAGTGTTATTGAAATACTACAACATGCAAACAACATTCACCAATGCAAGAATCACGAAAAATAACAAACAAAAAGGGAGAAAATTACCTAAAATGGCGTGGTGCAGATCATAGACATCCTTTCGGATGAAGTAGTAAACAAGAATGACAGCAAGTGGCAACAGTACTGCAATTATCTGTTAGAAGTGAAAAGTAAGGTTTTTGCCTCATCTATACAAAGGTGAGACTCATGCAATATTCAGATTTCTGCAAATTTTCTCAGCATGATATTGTTTGCTTAAAACCAAAACGTACTGGAACACCCCAGAAGGGAACTGTATTGTCTTTCAATGGGTATTTCAGGTCTGTCATCATGTCCTCTCCAACAAAGCGGTGAAAAGGTTCTATCAAGTTCAAACCGAGATCTATCGCCGCAAGAACCAGTAGAATCAGCCAGTCATGCATATGAATCCTCAATACCTTTATTCCATGAGATCTTACAGTGTGAGAACCCAACTGAATTTCTGGCATTTTTTGACTAACTGGAAAAGGAAAGAATAAAACCACTGTAAGTTGATGGAAATGATGATGGAAATTGGAGCATATAAACACTCAAAATAACCACCAAAAAAATGAGGGAAAGGGGGAGTCGGCAATATTACAGTAACAAATTAGAAAAGTGTACAAATTTATGTAGATATCCTGTAACTGTGCCCACTCACTGAAACATGTACTCTTAATCTCACTTGGCAATTCAAATAAAGGGAAAACTCAATCTCATGGCCTCAGGTTCATCCGCACAAGAATATATTGATACGACATAGAAATGAATAAAACAATAAAATTTATTCAGAGGTGAAGAAGAGGGAAAAGAAACGCTCGCACAAATATAATGTAACTCAACATTTCGGCTTGGTCGATTTGAGTTTTTCCAATTTCTTTTATTTTCCTTAATTTTCTAGGCAACCAAACGGAGGCTTAAACCCAACATTAGGGGAAAAAGCAGAAAACGAAAGAAAAAATAAACTACAACAAGATGCACATACATAAACATCGAATTCCATACATGCAGAGTAAGAAAACAAAATGAACAATTCTTAACAAAAGCATACATTGTGCATACAAATTTACAAAACTAAAAGAGAGAGAGACGTACGTGTAAAATTCGTATGATCGAGTGAGTCCGAGAGAGAGAGAGAGAGAGAGGGGGCGGGTTTTGGGTTCGATTTTAAGGTGGCAGGGGAGTGGATTTTGGTGAAGAAGAGCGAAACAGAGGGGCTGAAATGGAAAGCCGCGGGAAGGAAAAAAAATAACAAACGGAGTTGCCAATTTGGTTGGGTGCAGTGCAGTGGATCACCGACTCCCTACAGTAGAGATACAGAGGAGTAGGAAGAAGAAATGAAGAAGAAAATTTGGAATTTATTTGGGGTTTTATATTTTGTCTCTCACTAAAAGAGACTAAACGCGGCTTGTTTGCTTTGCTGATTGCTGGCTGGGGACGGCGGATGGTGACATAAAAGACACCTAAGTCTAAATTTCAAAGCGATCAAACGTAATGTACAATTCATTGTAAATTACTTTTTATTTATCAGAAAGAAAATAAAGAAAAAAAAAAACAAATAATAGCATGCTTAGGCGTGAATTTAGCCTCATAATTTGCAATTCATTAACATCTCATCTCATCTACTACAAAGTAGTTGTGGGATTCAAATGAAAATATCCAGGCCTCCACAAAGCTTCTTGTATTACCGGCAAAAAGAAAAATGACGCGGTTTCTAAAATATTAACCTTTCAAACTTCTATTAATATACCGTATGTTAACATTTTTAAACATGGGATTTAATTTATTGATAAATCTTTTCTTTTTTAATTTCCATTTTGAGCTAAGGCATTCTTTTCGTAAGTATTCACCTTCCCTTGCCACTTGACCTAACCCGTAATTTTTATAAAACTTTTTTTCTTTTTTGTTGTTTGAGATTCTTTTATTTAAATTATGTATTTCTCTTTGTTCACCCTAATTTCTAATTCAAATTTTCACAATTTTAAAGAAAACCCACTATCTTCCCAACCAACGCCTAAATGCACACCCCGTAAAAGAAAAAAAACTAAGAATTTTGGAATTTTGTAATGTCTACAGAAGAGGGGATTTACTTTCATATCTGTATACTCAATTACATGGTTAGATTACTTTGCTTTTCCCAACATGAAACATCGTAATTTTAGTATGGAATGCTTTTTTTTATTAAATTTTAAAGTTTGTTGTTATGGCATCCCCTCAGATGGCTGTAATTGTCTTAATGGTAATGGACACTGCAGTGACATAAAAAAAGTCTAGTAACATAAGTGTTTTAAAAGGTTAAATTCTGCTAATGGACACTTCATTGACATATTTATTTATTCTTTGTTTAGGTTGCTGATCCTGCTCATCGTCCTTTACTCAAATTTCTTTTTCTTCGTACGTGTGAATCATATTGTGGCTTTATTAGATTATGGATATTCAAAGTTGAGATTAGGGTTTGTGAAGAGAAGATGAGAGTGTAGTAGGTTTTTTGGATTGAAAGAGAAGAGTAGTCTGACAATACGGTATAGAGGAGTTTGTGTTTTTCTAAAACTCAATATGAAGAATAGTGGGGTGTGTGTATAGATGTATTAGGGTTAAGTATTAAGTTTCATGACCTTTTTTGTCTTTTTACATAATAATAAAACTTAAAAGCTTAATGATTTAAGTATTTGGATGAACAAAGAAAAGTATAGGGTTTAAATAAAAAAACTCTTTTTTAAAATTTGCTCTTTGCCCTTTAAAAGGGTTATGTGATGTACAAAATAAAACACACAAACAGAATTTAAAAAGCAGAGGGAGGCAAAAAAACTCCATTGACCCTCTCGCAACCCAAATGGGATTGAAACGTGCAAAAAGCAATGTGTTTTTCAAGTGAAGATGAGCTCTTTTCGGTGCTTAAATTGTCCCTTGAATATTTAAATTATCATCTATGTCTACTTAATTCAGTCTTGCTCGCTTCACATATTTTTTGCCGAGTCTTTGTCAACAACCTCTTTATATATCTATCTGTCTCCAAAATCCATATTCTTTTCTTGTTCAATCATCTTCGTACTTTACCTTTACTGTTTTAAACAGGTAAAGGAACAGAGTAGGTGGCAACAGACCATTTGTGGATTAGAAGATAAACAAGATTAGATTACAAATTAAATTAAAATTACAAGAGAAGCTAGTGGCAATCGGGAAACTCATAATTGGTTGGTATTTGATAAATAAATGGATGGAAGAAACTAAGAAATTGAATCGGTCGATGTCTATATGGAAATGTTTAATTGGCAGTGGGTGTGAACAGCTCAGAAAGCAACTATAATGTTGAATAATGGAGACCTAATCAGGGCATCTGTCAACTAAACTTTAACTAGCATGCGGTCAAAGGTCCAAGGATTAGCAGATTAGCATGTCTTATTATTAATATAATTATTACAAGTTTACAGCTGATGTTTTCTTCCATCACTGTTACTAATAATCTGCCTATCCCAGTTGTAGCTACCTCAAACAGGCGGTACTCGGTACCGTAGAGACTACAGATCACTTCCCAGATACCGTACTATACTCTATTCTTTATACTTTCATTTCCTACATTACGTGACGTTATATCGTTCTTCATAATAAAAAATTGCCTAGTTTGATCCAAGGAAGCAACGTTAGGCCAACCAGAATCCCACAACCAGCCATTGTGCAAGTGTGGCTTCATTTTTTGGTTCCAAGAAATATAAAGCATGCATGAATGGATTCACAGAACTATCAATATCAAACTAAGCTCTGTATATGGTTCTAAAACAAACTTCTAGGCTACACTGTTTGTCTTTCAACAGAATGGATTCACAGAACTATCAATATCAAACTAAGCTCTGTATATGGTTCTAAAACAAACTTCTAGTCTACACTGTTTGTCTTTCAACTGGTATCTACATATTCCAAGCAAGCAATACGCGGACCTAAACAAAGCAACATGTACAAAATATCACCTCTCCCCTGATTCCATTTCATCCAGCCTAATGCTTGTATAGCGGTCTGCAGAGAATGCGGCAAATTCATCGCCATTTTGCCTATGTCGTTCATTCACATTCTGAGCCCCCATCACCTGCACACTGAGTGCATTCACAGGACTGGCCGCATGTGTATTGCTCCGCATCTCCTCCAATGCTTTGAAATATGCATAAGGACCCCATCCTGAATTCAAAAGAATATTTAGGAAAACTGAACTATCTAATTCAGTTCTAAAAGAGATGCAAGGAGGAAAAATTATGTAACCTTCATCATTATAAGGGGAAGGGAAGAATTGCCGGTAACAAAATGCAGCCACAACAAGTCCTGCAAAATATGAACCATGTATAAAGCTCTAACATTCTTACAATTAAAGTATTAGAGAAAAGAGATTGTGAATGAACAGACCTAAAAGGCCTCCGGCAAACACGTCCTGCCAATGATGCCAATAGTCATCTACTCTAGAAATGCCAACAAGAGATGCAGCAAGTAGAGGAAGGAAGACAATGCACAATTTTGCCACGTGCCCTTTCCGATCAAATGCTTTAATCTTTCCACATAAGTACAATGAGAGAAAGCCTAAACCTGCAAAGGACCCTGCAGAGCAATGCTAAACTGTATCAGATGAATGGATTTATTATAGGCTGCCTTTTGTAGAAGTAAAAGGATCCAAATTGAATGAAACAGTGTATAATGGTGCAGGAAGCATTTCTTACATGAAGCATGACCGCTTGGGAAACTCTTATGTCCTTCCTTTATGTCACTAGCCTTACCATGGCACCGTACACCTCCCCACTGATCATAATCCTACCAGTAGTGAAAAATAGATAAAGATCAAAATCGACGCAACTCATATTCCCATATATAAATGACAAATTTTGAGTGTTATGTTTGCCCAACATCACACAACAGCTTCCTAACATACGATTAGGTGGCCAAAACTCTAACCTCCTTTACTTTAGATCTCTTGAAAGGTCAATTAGTAGCATTAGTCAACAGGCAATGAAACAGAAAAAGTTGATGCCAAAACCCCCATTCTAATGTGGATTTATCTAAAGAAAATGAACTCCCGGATTTAATGCTAACAAGGATTTGGAACCAACGGAACATACATCTTTTCCATCAGGAAAGCAACGCCAAAAGAAATCTGGTCGAGGCCGGCCAACTGCATTTTTTATTGCATCCGTGACAACCCCAGTAATCAACACGGCAAATAAGAGGCCTGCTCCAGTAGATAGATTCTAATGTGGATTTATCTAAAGAAAATGAACTCCCGGATTTAATGCTAACAAGGATTTGGAACCAACGGAACATACATCTTTTCCATCAGGAAAGCAACGCCAAAAGAAATCTGGTCGAGGCCGGCCAACTGCATTTTTTATTGCATCCGTGACAACCCCAGTAATCAACACAGCAAATAAGAGGCCTGCTCCAGTAGATAGATATATAACCAAATTAATGCATAGAGACATTAGTAAATAAAAGGGTTTCCAGTTGAATAAAAATTAAATGAAAGACAAAAGAACAATTGGATTACCTAGAGTGCTGTGGTGCAGATCATAGACATCTTTCCTACGTGCATAGAACAAAACGAAAACGGCAATAGGCAACAAAACTGCATACATCTGAGCATCAATAGAAGAATCAATCTCATTAACCATAGCACTATAGACTTGCAGCTACCAAATACATACAACTAAATGAAACAAAGCTCAGACAGAAAATAAGAAAAAATTATCATTGTAAAATGATTGGCATAGAATCTTAAAGCAGAAGTTCTTTCTTCGAAAATGGAAGTAGGACTAAAAGAAGAAGGGGAAAACTTACAGGGACAGCCCACACAGGCACTGTGTTCCCTTTCATGGGATATCTAAGGTCTGTCATCATGTCCTTTCCCACAAAACGGTGGAAGGGTTGAATGATGAACAAGATGACCTCTATAACTGCAAGAAGCAGCAGTATAAGCCAATCATGCATGTGATTCTTTGCAAGTGCAGCTCCATGAGATTTGATTGTGTGAGTTCCCAGTTCAATTTCTGTGGTTCTGCTCTGCTAGAACAAACAAACTGATGACTTCATTTGGTCCACTAAAAACACTTCTCAATAAAGATGCCTTGGCAAAGAGGCAATAATGATTTGGAGAAAGATATTTCTAAAACTATATCCACAGATGAAGAAAAGGAGCAACTGCAAAGAAGTGTACAACTTATGCTATTATAAATGATGGGATTCACTATAGTCTATAGATGAAACAAGAAGTAAAGAACTTCCACTTCCAATTGCTTTCTTTTCCCTTCTTTGCAGAACATAATTCCAAAAGAGTAAAACTTGTTAATAATTTTAATAATAAAAATAACCAAAACTCAATAAAGTGAAAATCTGCCAAAAGGGGTTATGAGAGTGATGACAGCATAAATTCAAAATATAATTTGGTAGTCACTAGCCCAATGCAATAAACAAATATACACAAAAAAACAACAAAAGTATTTTCAATTTACCAACCTGAAAGATACTCCGGAAATTCCAAAAAGAACAAAGGGATCCCAGATTCCTCCAAGCCATAATGAACAAACCCAGAAACCTGCAGCACGTACGGTTGTCAAGTTTCAAACACAAAAAAGAGACATGTACAACAGAAGTGAACACAGAGAGTGATGGAGGATATATAAGACCACAATTCACAACCCAAAAAGAAAGAAGAGAAGCAAACAGAGAAGCAGAACCTTATCACAAACAGGAAAGGAAAAAGAAAAAGAACAAAAGTAGTGAATTGAATTCAAAGCAGTGAGGTCTAGTTACAATGAGGCAATGAATCAAAATTGAAAAAACAAAAGTGGGAAAGGACGTGTCAGCAACTTGGTCTCTGTTTTACCCTTAAAAAAAGAAGACTTTCGAATTTTTTAAGCAACAAAATGTGAGAGTGCTTCGCAGGAAAATTTGAAATGGGGAATTCAAACCCACCAGTGTCAGTGCCAAAAATTTCTTCTTGCTCTGCCAAATGCCAACTATAATCAAAATTTTGAATTGTTGGGGTAGGCGCCGCGGACGGTTAAGATTTGTTGGATCAACGTTAACAACAATGTTGGAGGTTGTAGAGAGAGAGAGAGTCCTAAAAACTAAAATTGTGTGAACATGAACGAGGTTGGAGGATGAGATAATGACCTCATCTTTGTTTCTGTGTTTAGAGGCGGGGTCAAGTCTTCGAACTCATCACTCAGCTGCCGTCCGATCTGTTGACTTTTACCGGGCCTAGAGGCTCCTCTGTTTTTTTTTTTTGGGTCAGAAGAAGCTGCTGTTCTGATTGACTGCACGTGGGCATTTAGTCGTGTGGGGCCCCGCGTAGGAATGTGATGGTTGGTTTTGCTTGGAATGTTACGCCGTCGTTTTGATGAATAATTACACACAGAGAATCGTGGATGACAGTTGTGCGTAACATGGCCTTTAATCCGGCGGAGGGAAGTTGGTACGACGGTTACCTTCAGTTGGCGGAATGATTTATCATTCACAACAATCATGTGGGGCAATTTTGTCTTTTCATATGCTCATGCAAGTTGTAATTTGCAAACAATTCAAAAATAAACAGCAGCTTTTCTTCCTTTGTTTTCCAAAATAATAAAAGTACAAATCCTTTTAATTTTTTTAAAATATCTAGATCTGACTTTATGAGGTCTTTCTAGACAAACTTGTATGAAATGGAGAGAACACTATTTTGCTATCTTCAACCAATCACAAACTGCTATATGGAAAAGTTATCATGCATAACATGTAATGATTAATCGAGATAATAAAATAGTATTATCCTCGTTTCACACAAGTATTTCTCCTAGTAAGGCCCCATTTGGTGATTCAGACTAGACACTAGACTTCAACTCTTGGATTTGATTGGTTGGGACCATACAATACATTCAAGAATCATATCCACTGTTTGGTGCAACACCGGTATGGACTGGACATTAGAAAATAAATTTATAAAACAAAGAGAAAATTCAACAAAAATATAAAAAAAATCTTCATGGTCCTTAATTCATACTAGCTGGCTTTTTTTAGAAAATTTTAAATTTATTTTATAATTAAAAAAGAAAACGGGTAGTTGTGTTCCATAAAAATAGGATATATTATCTGAATTTTTTTCTAATTTAATATGAAAAAGTATGAATTTACCATATTATCCTCATTTAATTAATAATTTCAATTTTTAATGTTTGCTTTAACCAAAGGCATTTTCTTGTATTTTGAATGTTTTATCATTCTCTGCCTAATGAGTTTCTTGACCACAACAATGCCGACACTTTTGAATTCCTAAGTTGTTTCATTATTATCAGACCAAAAAAATTGTCATTTTATTGTTATTCCCATTATTTTGGCTTTTTCTTCGTCATTGATTTCATTTCTTGAATGTCCTCTATTGTCTGTTTCATAATTTATTCATCAATTTGACTGTAGCCTCAAGCTTGTGGAGTTTAGACTGGCTGGCTGCGTACAATATGGTTTAAAATGGATCGCACATCCATTTTTCGTAGCTGCGTTCCTTCATTTAGTGGCAGACAACCTCACATCTTACAAGTTAGCTTCATCAATCTGCATGCAAATTGAACTGTAGACATACAAATAAAAATGTGTTATGACTCGGGTTACAGGGTTACGTATTATTTCCGTTTGATAGTCTATTTTCTATGTCTCTCTCTTTACGTAACTACGACTTAAATAAAAGAACAATTAGACCGGAATAGGTAAATATTTTTTTCACCAACACAACCATTGTAATTAAAAAACATCCATTTCAATTTCCAACAGCTATAATGATTAAGGCAAAGAACCAAATTAAAATGACATTTACCAGCATTGACACCGACTGCCACCAACTCCTCATCCTACCAATCTCAACCCTCAAACTCCAAAAATAATAATAAAAAATTAAAGTATCTACAATTATGCTCCTTATTTTTTAGTTAAAATTTAGCTAAAAACACACAAAAGTTATTTAAAACTATGCATAAAACAAAGCAGCATTAAATTATATTGCAGAGAGCCACTAGGAGTCCTTTCTCTCATCTCAAATTTAAGAGCTCCTAGGGGTCTTTCTATTTTAAAGAGCATTTTTGCTCACCACTTTAACCCAAAGTGTACTCTTACCACCCTAAATGGTCAGTATGAATGCTCTAGTGCTAGATGGTCACTTCTTAATTTCAAAAAAATATATTTAATGGGCCATGACGTGTCGTATACATTTTCCTCTCACGAGTCACTACTAATTTCTTTGTTCTAATCCTCCAATAATTACACGGTTGTTAAACTTCAGGATTCCACGTGAGCACCTTTTCACCCATCGTTATTATCAGCTTCATCTTCATCTCCAATGCAAAGAATAGTAGCTAAGTGTGCTCTATATACTAACTAGGAATATTTTCTTTGTCCTCCTGATTGAGTGAGAGTCAAATATCTAGATCATAGCTTGGTCCACCCACCCACTCTCCAGCTCCACTAGCAGCCGATGTGATTTGCTCCAAAATTTGGTTCACAATTTGTGAACCAAATTGAGATTAGACAACTACAACCTAATGTACAAAAATGATTTTATGCAGACAGAGAGAAAGAGAGAGAGAAATCAAACTGTTTGGGCCAAATCGTTTTCATCAAGGCTTAGCCCAGTTCGATTTATCCTTTCTATGGGTCAAAATAATCGAGGACCAGATAGAATTTGGACCTTTTAACATCAGAGGAGCTGGCCCAATCCATTTTATAGGAATAAAATAAAGCTTGTGATTCAAATGGGGTTTAGGGATAAAAGAACTGGCGTCGTCATGATCGGCATTACGTCAATGCGCTTCTTGAAAATTCTGCGTGGAGACTGAAAATTGAGATTGCTTGCTGCTGGTGAGTGTAAGGAAAGGAAAGAAGACAAGTTGGAAATCGAGGTGACTCTTTTGTAAGCTTTGACGACATCTCGGGCTTCTGAAATTAAAAATACAGAAAATACCAGAATAATGCTTCGCCGCAGTATGCTGCTGCTCAGGCTGTTGAGCACTGGAGCTGTTTCCTAAAGTGGTCCCCAATCTCCCACAATTGGAGATTATGTGTCTCTTAAAGACCGTACTGTTGGATCATTGGACCAACCCCCTACCCTTCCCTCTAATCCATCTCTTGTACACCATTTTTTCAGCACAGCTTACACGTTTTCTTTTCTCATGCTTTTTCTGGAGGTTTCCTTCCTTTTTAACATTTACGTCATATTAAGTGACACTCTATCAAATACAATATGTGAAATGCGAATTGAAAACATAAATGTAAGTTAGGTTAGTTGATTAAAATAGCGTGTCGATCCTCTTACACCCGTATTCAAACCTTCACTATTGGTACGTTATAGTATGTATAAAGTATCGTCATTGTCAAAACAAAACAAAAAAAACTGATAGCGCCGTTGTTTATGCTCATCCTTTGGGCCTTGTTGTCCTTATCACGTAACCGCCTCGTAGGTTTAGCAAACCCATCTTGCACCATTTCTGATGGACATACCACTTCCTAAAACCAATGGCAAGATCCACATTGTTCTCTGCGTCTGCGCGTACGAAATCCTGATTTTCTGCAAGAGTTTTTAATTTTTTTTAATTCATTGATAATTTTGTACCGTCAAGCAATGAATTACTGCGTCATTTCATCGTGTAAATGCGGTGTATGCCATCACTTTATTTTTATTTTTATTTTACATTTCAATGAATATGCCGTCACATCACATCCTTGGCCCCAAAAAGTTAACAGATGAATAATAATTTTACAAGTCATCAATGGAATTGCTTTTAAAAATTACGAGCTTATTTAAAAGTTTGTCTCAAGAAAGAATGATATGCAATATTCGAGAGAAGTTTGCCCCCTAGACGCCAAAAGGAATTGAATTTGTTATCTTTTTCAATAAGTGCATGCGAATTGGGACGAATAAGTTTCATTTCATGTCAGCTAGCAACATATCAATGACTTTTTCTGCGTCAATACCTAAATTATTAGTCTAGCAGCTACCTTATCACTTAACAATTAGCTTCAATCTAAAAGGGTCAAAAACAAAGCCATGATTAGGTGGTTTCATAATGAATGTTGCATACGTCGTCGTCCTGTGCCGCTTGGGAGATTATCTACCCTCCAACTTTAGCTTCTTCACTCGTATAATTTATTTATTTATTTATGGGGATCAAATAGAAACTTCATTAGATAAACTTCAACAGTACAATCAAATATATAATTCATTTAAACTTTCTTTCTTATCAAATATATAAAGCAAAAGGCAAAAAATAATGAAACATTCAAAATAATGAGTCTTATTTTTATGAAATACAACGACTCATTATCTTTTTTAATTTAAAATTTTATATATTAAAAAAGAAAAAACAATTGTAACAGGCGTAAAGGGCTGGTATCAAATAATTTAAACTTGTATCTAACTTGTAAGGGGAATGAGGGTGGACCCATACCTAATTTTTCCAATATAATTTTGGTTATACTAACTCACATGGCGTAAAGGGCTGGTATCAAATAATTTAAACTTGTATCTAACTTGTAAGGGGAATGAGGGTGGACCCATACCTAATTTTTCCCAATATAATTTTGGTTATACTAACTCACATAAATTAATAATTCAGTGCTTTTCTACCGTACGATCTCGCATTTAGTGAGTCTACCAATAATAAATGAGTCAAGATGGTCGAACGAATGTGATATTTTCCATATATTTGTACTACAAGCAATGTCGTGGCAGGAGCCCACAATAAGAGTTCCAATCGTGCTATTTTCATTTTCATAATAGAAAACTGCTAATAATAAACCCAATAATAAATTAGATGAGCTGGAGAGCGGTGCGATGCGCCACATTATCCCTCATTATATATATATATATGTCACATTTATTGTATTGTTTATTGCAGACAACGTCAGCTGAAATTGGAACTGATTCCAGAAGGCTGCTAACAATTCAGCAGCCGTACTAAAATTCATATTGTATTTTTTCTTTCTTAATCACAAATCAAAGATTGACACGCTTGTGTGCGTTCGTAAAAGATTTATAATTCAAGTGGTTAAAAGTATTTGTTTAGACGTTTAAAATAACATAACTATGGTGTACGTATTGTTATAACTTAACACGTCACGGGTTAGGTCAGCAAACAAGAGTTTCTTTTCACCCGATATGATGGGTGGGTCCCTCTTCTTTCTTTGTTAAAGGCTATAAGCTAAAGCG